GTTTTCTGAACCTGATTGCAGGTTCTTTGTTTAAGGTACGGAAAATGGATAAATTGAAGAAAACTTGAGCATCTTAAACTACAAAACATGAACTTCAGAACTTCATTACTTACAAGACAAATCATAATCAGTCTAGCATTTATTTGAGACAAGGATATGTTATATAGAAATACATAACATACATTTCTTTTCCAAAAATTTTTCAGTTGTTGCTTTCCTGCCCGTTGTAGCGGTACAACCAGTAACTTTTAATGTACGGATGATGATAAGTCAATATCGAAGCCATTATATATATATATATATATATATATATATATATATATATATATATATATGGATGTAGATGCAAAATGCTATATGGATAGTGACTCTAGGCCTTCCCATAGATGTATGAAAGCTCATCGATGACCAATGTGAGACTATTTGATGACTTAAAGATGATCGACTTACATAGGCCTGCATTACTTTAGAATTTAAGATGATCCAAATGCAGAATTGTTGTATACATAATTCTCAAAGACAAAAGATATGTTAACAGGACATGATATCATGTGAACTGCCCTTAGATTGAGCAGGAGCTAAAGGAGATAGATTTTAATCTCTGGTTGCCCCACCATCGAATAATAACCATGTCATTGTGATGTTTTATTTCTTGGGGAGTTTCCCTTAGTGGTTTATCGAAATTGTTGGGCCTGTGTGGGTAGTTTTAGTGGTTTATCGAGATAGATATGTTTGTATTATACAAATGTGATTGCTACACATTGGGCTCGGTGTCCAACCCGACCCGTACTGCATGTGTCTCTTTCCCAATCTTGCTCAAAGACTAAAAAGTTTTGGGAAAATTACACACATGGCCCCTTTGTGTATATATGTACGCATATATGATCCGTGCAAAAATTAAGTAAAAGAGGATTAGATTGTGATTTATATTTCACATATACGAGATTACGATTGATATCATCTTATCCTTTTCTCTCTATCCATTAAAAGATCATGACTTCACGAGGCCGAAATCAACGCATATAGAACGGAATTTCCCCCAAAAA